CTGCTGAGAAGTTCCTCCTCCTTGTCTTGCCCGCCCTCAGGTCGCTGCCATTCAGCGCTGCCCTTCCCGGTGCCCGGCCCAGTGCCCCGAGACGCCACCGACCTGCGCCCCTGGCGTGAGCGCGGTGCTGGACGGCTGCTCCTGCTGCCTGGTGTGCGCCCGCCAGCGCGGCGAGAGCTGCTCGGATCAGCAGCCCTGCGACGAGAGGACCGGCCTCTACTGCGCCCAAACTGGCATCTGCAAGGGTAATCTTGTCCCCGCTCCGCGTGCCCTCGTCGGCAGCCAGCTGGAGCTGTGCGCTCCCCACCCCTTTCTCCCATTGCCAGATGGTGATAAGGAAATAATAATAATAATAATACAATAAGTGACATGTATGGAACACTGTGGCAGACACGGTCTGAGGGCTCGTAGAGATTTGGAGAGCTCCAGAAGTCAGAGAGAAAAACTACAGGTGGAGGTGAAAAGCATTCCTCACCGGCCTCTCTAGGGAAGAATCTAGGTAGAGGGGGAACGCAGTCGTTCAGGGTCAGTGAAGTCATTTCCTTCGGACATTTCCAGGGACACACTGGAAGCTTGGGCTCACTCACAGCTCACAGGGCTCCCAACTGCAGCTGACAGATTTGTTTTCACACCTGTAATTGTCCTAGTTGAGCCAAAGCAGTGCCTGGTCTCCTGGGATGTCTAACCACTGTCTCGGCTGTGAGTAAAATAAAATGCAAACAGCTAGGCATTCAGGCTGGTGGTGTTTAATCAATCAGATCAGTTTTCGTCCTGGTGTACCATTGTAGTTGGACACTGTCCCTGACTCCCTGGAAAGGAGGGCTTGGACTAGCCTTTCACTTTTTTCTCTAAGCTAGTAATGATCTCTTGGGTTTGAATGCCAGGGAACCCTAATGCCCCTCCCAATTTGACCAGGTTACCTATTTGGGGAATGTGAAGTGCAAGTTCCCTCTTTCTTTTTTCTTTTTAGAATTATTTAATTCGTTTATTATCATTATTTTTTTTTAAATTTGACCAGAAAGAGACACAGAGAGAGAGAGAAAGTAAAAGCAAACCCCCAGGTCTGGGACTCAAACCAAGGTTGGCCATGTGGGAGTCCAGTGCCTTATCCACCACACCACTGCCAACCCCTTCTCTTTTTAAATCTAAGTTCCCGGAGTGGGCAAAATTAAAGAGACTCTTGCAAAATGACTTTGTCATTGGGAACAACAGCTATGGGGCCTTAGGAGTGTCACTTCACAGTTGCACGCTTCTCTCATTTGTAAAATGGGTGGCAAGGCTGAATGGCCTGGAAGGGTTCCTCTTGCTCCTAGAGGCCTCCAGGAAGACATCTCTGTATTGGAGATGTTTAAGAAGCCAGATGACCTGAACTAGAAAAAGGATGACTTGGGGTTTGGAACATGTTCTCTAAATCTTATGCAGCTTCCTCAGTGTGTGTGTATTCTTGTTTTTCTCTCTCCTCCCTCTTGGCTTTGCTTCTGCAATGTTCTAGCACTAGAAGGAGAAAACTGTGTGTTTGACGGCATCATTTACCACAGTGGCGAGAGCTTTGAGCCAAGCTGCAAGTATCATTGCACCTGCAGAGATGGGCAGATTGGCTGTGTGCCCCGCTGTCAGCTGGACGTGCTGCTGCCTGGCCCTGACTGCCCAGCTCCACGAAAAGTTCGGGTGCCCGGACAGTGCTGTGAGAAGTGGACTTGCGGCCCAAATGAGAAGGGCACGTTGGGAACCCTTGCCCTTGCAGGTGAGAAACTCAGTATGGCTGGATAGTTACAGCCTGCGGTGAAAGCAGCCCTGAGGAGCGTGTAATATTTTGGATTTGGCTTGAGAAACTGGCCTCTGTTTCTGGCCATTCAGTTGGGGATTCCAGATTGCTCACTGAGATCAAACACATCGTGTTTTTAAATCTAAGCTGTGTTACTGAAGAATGCAAATGATTTTTCCTAAGAAGGATGTGCTCGATTCAGTTGCTTTTCTATGTTTGTCTGATTAGATGATTACTACGTTATATTTTAATCCATCCATCCTCCTGACCTTTATTAGCATACAGAGGTAAAGGTAAAAAATTCTCTCTACTGGATTCTGCATACCGCCTACCTCTCTCACAGCCATATTCCTTAAAGAATGCTTCTCATCCCTGGACAGATGTCACATAGAAATATCATTTTCCCAGGACCAGCAGATGGTGTAATGGTTACATCACTGGACTCCCACATGGCCAACCATGGTTCAAGTCCCAGACCTGGAAGCCTGAAACACATGCTGTGTGTGTGTGTGTGTGTGTGTGTGTGTGTGTGTGTGTGTGTGTGTACGTGCCCAAGACCCTGGAAGGAAAAGGGATTGTGATGTGGCTATCCCCCCCTGTGTGTGTGGGGGAATTCTTACATTCTGTCTCTGTCTCTTTGGTGAGCATACATGCCCTATAGCAAAAATCTCTCTCTCAAAAAAAAAAAAAAAAGGAAAAGAAATATCATTTTTCCAGATGCAGTAGAAAGGGTCAAGTGACACTTTAGGATCTTTGTTTGTTCCTTTTATTACATATAAATTAGCATTTTTAAAGATTTTTATCACAGGGTGTATGTGCTCACCAGAGAGACAGAGACAGTGAGAAAATGGGAAATCAGGCTCCCCACCCTCGAGGAGATGGCTACGCCACAATCCCTTCTCTCCATTCTCCTAGAATTTTGAGCACATGGGAACCAGCAGTTAGCATAATGGCTATGTTGCTGGACTCCCATGTAGTCGACTGCGGTGCGTGCCCAAGATCCCAAGAGGAGAATGGAGGAGAAGGGATTGCGGTGTGACCATCCCCCCTGGGGGGTGATTTCTCGCTTTCTGTCTCTATGTCTCTCTCTGTCTGTCTGGCGAGCGCACACGCCCTATAGTGAAAATCTCTCTCAAAAAAAAAAAAAGAATTTTGAGCACATATGCACAGGTACCTGGCATGAGTTTCAGACCTCCAGGTCTGAGACTTGAACCACAGTCAGCAATGTGGGAGTCCAGCACCTCAACCATTATACCACCTACTGGCCCCTAAATTAGTATTATTTTTTGGGCGGGGGGGAATGTCAGGCAATAGGGACTAATTTAAAAGCTATTAATCAGCCTGATTATTTATATTGGCAGAACCTAGAGTTTTACAGTATTTCTGAGGTCAGAAATTATCAGCCAGGCTTTACAGAAAGAAAAACTGCCATGGAGAAGAGACGTGTCCCCAAGCCATGCAGATTAAGCGCTGAGACTGAATTTTCTTTGATCCAAGTCCAGGTGTCTATATCCCACAACCAAAACAACCAGTTTTACCTCTCCAAAACACAATATTTCTTTCATCATTATTTTAACTTGGCTACTCATTACAATTGAATTTTTTTAAGTTTATTCATTTATTTCTCTCATGAGGCGGAAAGAAAAAAGGGATAAGAGCCCTCAACAGTCTTCTCCATCTCAGTCCGCCCTGATGGGTGCACCGGGTATGTTCAGACTAAACCCAGGGTCTGTCCCACGGGGGCCTGTTGCATTACTGCTGTGCCACTGGCTGGCCCCACAATTAAAACTGTATCATGATTTTTTTTTTTTTATTGAGAGAGGCATGTGTTCTTCCCAGAGAGGGGGACAGAGAATGAGAAAGCACTTCCTGTGGAGCATGGGCATTCTGCCATCACTTCTCTTCCATTTTTCCCTTCCTTTGGGATTTTGGGCATGCCCACACACACACACACACACACACACACACACACATCTGGTGTGTTTCTCAAGCCACCAGGTCCAGGACTTGAACCCCACGGTCAACACCTTAACCACCAAGTCATAGGGTGGTCCCATGATCTATTTTATGTATAAAATCACGTTTTGAAATAGTCATTGATGCTGTAATGCTCTATATTCTTAAAATGACAACGTTGTTTTATCAGTTTTTGTGATAGGGCTTGTGCATTCACTGGAGAGAGATAGAGAGTAAGAGAAAGTGAGAAGTCACCCTCCAGAGAGGATGACTCTCCACAATCCTCTCCGCTCCATTCTCCCCTCAGGATTTTGGGCATATACGCTCACATGCCTGATGTGTTTTCAGCCACCAGGTCTGGGACTTATACCATATAGTTGTCCATGTAGAATTCAGTCACCTTAAGCTCTACACCACCTTCTGGCCCCAAAGCTTCTTAAAGTCAAGTTGGGCAATCATGCTACAAAGAGTTCTTGGAAGTCTATAACATGTCAGATGTTGTGCTCCCTGTCATGGGTTAATAAATAAGGAGACCCAGCTCTATCTCTTGGGAGTATCAGTGTTTAGCAGATACCGAACTAAATGAGACCAACTTTCAGCTGATGATTAAAGGGACCATTTGTCAATCCCCCATTTTACTCAGTGTAGCTATTTTGTTATACATCCCATAGCCTACAGGCCAGAAGCCACCCTAGGAGTTGAGGTCTCTGACTCAAGTGTCAACTGCATCGAACAGACTACAGAGTGGAGTGCATGTTCCAAGAGCTGTGGTATGGGTGTTTCCACCCGGGTCACCAACAGGAACCGTCAGTGTGAGATGGTGAAGCAGACTCGGCTCTGCATGGTACGGCCCTGTGATCAAGAGCCTGAGCTCTCGACAGATAAGGTAGGAACTTGGAGGAATGTCCTGGAGGAACCTACTACTAGCCAAAGGTTGTGACTTTGCACCTTGAAAGGCTGGGCTTCAGGAAGTTTCTGTGACACTAGCTGACTCCAAGGTCAGCCCTTGCTGGGAGTTAACCCCAGAGAAGAGGCAGAGAGTTTCCTGAAGCCAGCCTGAGTGAGGTTACCTTCTTTTCTTTTCTTTTTCTTTTCTTTTTTTGTCTTTAATGTACTAAAATATTCCAAGCAACTGAAAGCAGGTCTACTGGTAAAGTAGGAGGGACCTGGACAACTATAATGCTTTCCCCAGTTAAGAGTGTTCTAGCAAATTGCATTTCATTCCTAGACAAGATTGGCAGCCCAATTGGCAAGCACAGTTGATTTTAGAGAGGTCATTTCTGACCTCAGTTTTTTACTTCTTAAATTTAATGTGAAGTAACATGGTAAGCCCTATATCTGTCTTATCTCTCAATCCTCAACACCCTTCCCGGTAAATATTGGGGGCTTGATAAATGACTATGGGTGAATAAATAAACGGGCGCCTGGGATTTACCGTCACTATTTTTAAAAGCCTAGTGGAAATGGCACATTTGCCAGCATACGGCAATATGGGCCAAATAAAACAGTGCATTTCTTTCCTTTTTTTGTTGGATTCATATCAACTGAATGTGTTAACTCTGAGTGTAAGGCATGTAGATCCTAAGCTCTCATTGGTTCCTGATGATATCACAGGCCTTCTTACCAGAGCTCCATATCAGAAAAATGCATTATCTAGTTGAACCATCATCTGGACCTTTGTACAAATCTAAGGCCAAAATAAGCCCCTAGCAAGTCAAGATTTTCATATCTCTACACTGAGACAGTGTCGTAAAATGCTTAAGGGGACAACTCTGGCGCCAAACAGCTTGGCCGAAAATCCTATCTTTCCACATGAATCAGATGTTGTGATCTTGAGCAATTTTCTTAATATCCCAGTTTTAATTCCTTCCCCTATACAATGGGACCACTGATAGCACCTGCCTCAATGTTGTCATGAGGATTAAATAGAATGAAACTGTAGAGTCCAGGGCATAGCGTAAGTATTCTATTATTAGCCACTTCAATTAAAGTTTCTATTTATTGATAAAGTAAAAGATTCTCTAAGAGGTTGCATTAGCTATAGGACTGCTTAGCTATGTGAGTGTTTGAGGTCCATCCTAGCTTTATATTTTTCCACCAATTTAGAAAGATCACCTAGAAACACCTTATCTCTATAATTATACCCACACTTGGGGGAATTCAAATATGCATGTCACCTCCTCTTGTAGGTTGACCCACACAAGCAGTCTCACACACACACACACACACACACACACACACACACACACACAGAGGCACATAGCCTGTTGCTGGCCTGCTAAACTTTAAATACGATAAAGGAAGAAACAAGAACCCCTTAAATATTAAAGGCATGGTAACTGTTAAATGAGGTCTTTCCATCTCACACCTCTAAAATTTGGATTTTTTTCCATTTTTTAAAATGTATTATTTTCTTGTAATTTGCACCTCATTTAATACTGGGAGATATTATACTTCACATGTTTGTTTATAGTATACATGTTTCATAAAGGGTCTAGAAGATTGTTTGGAATGTATGGAAATATCAGCTTAATAATCATTTGTTCCTTATGTCCAAGAGATTCTTAAATCTAGGAGAGTGGTTTTTAAAGTGTAGTTCCCAGATCAGCAATATCATCTAAGAACTTGATAGAAATGTAACTTGTGGGCACCACATCAGATGTACAGAATATCAAACTCTGAGTGTAAAGCCCAACAATCTGTATTTAACAAACCCTGTAAATATTTCTGATGTGTCCTTAAGTTTGAGAGCCTTTGATATAAGAGAATTTCAAGTCTAATTACCCCCACAAGCTATGGGTTAGTCTAGAGAGGTAAGCAGTGGAAAAATTAGTGGACAAAGACATCTGTGTAGGAAATAAAAAATCATTCTTTGTTAAATTATTAATATTGGGAATTTTCATTGACCATTACTAATGGAATCTTGAATATATTTGTCACTTACTTTGCGTTCAAGAAAAAAACAGTTAAATCCCATTGTCTTATAGTTTCCTTAGATCACCATATAATCCAAAGACAAATTAAAACACTGTTCTAGATGCTTTCTGATCACTTGAGCCTTTGAGACTCTATTTATATATCTATAAAACTTGAGCAATTGGGACCAACAGATGGCATAATGGTTACATCACTGGACTCCCATGTAGTTGACCATGGTCCGAGTTCTGGACCCAGTGACTTAAAACTTACACCAGGCATATATGTGTGCATGCCCAAGATCCCCAGAGGAGAATGGAGGAGAAGGAATTGCAACTTGGCCATCACCCCCTGGGCAGGGATTTATCACTTTCTGTCTCTCTGTCTCTCCAGTGGGTGCATGTCCCCTATAGCAAAAAATATATCTTAAAAAATAAAAAAAGAAAGAAACTTTAGCAATTGTTTATTCTATGAATAAGTGAGCCCTGTGTGAATGAATGTTGTTATAAGCTTAAGTGGATTAAAGTTGGGAAAGTATCTAAAACATAAATAGGCTTTCAATAACACCAGATTTTTGGGGAACCAGCAGTTAGCGTAATGGCTATGTTGGTGGATCCCCACTTAGTGGACCAAGGCTCGTGTCC